AAAAAAAAAATTCTGAATCTTTTTCTTTTCTTAAAAAAATACAGAAACTAGTTCCTCCTACTGCAAATATCTTTTTCTGTCAGACTGCAAATATATGATCACCCTTCCAAGAACCCAAACCATAATAAAACATATAAAAATTGTTCAAAAAACCAAATTCTTCCTTACTCTATCAAAACACACAGCACAGACATATTGAATGGAAGAATTGTTCAAAAAAAGCAAAAATTAATTCTCAAGTTCAGAGCATAAATCCATCGGATATAGGCAAAACATTAGCTAATTAATACTCAAAATCAAACTCGCATTTTTTCTCTGTTTTTCTCTAATTCTCTATGTTTTTCTCTTTCTTCCTTACTCTATCAAAAAACACACAGAGCACAGACAGATTGAATGGAAGAATCGTTCAAACAAAATGCAAAAATAATTTCTCAAGTTCAGAGCATAAGTATAAATTTCAAAATAAAAAAAACCCTAGAATGTACAGAGGAGAGGGAGAATTTACCTTCGGAAGGGAGGTGGTTGTCGCTGCTGCCTCAAGTGTGCAAGTATTAGAATTGATAGGGTTTGTGCTGTGCGTGCCTGAAACAGAGAGGGGTGATGTTGTGGGTTAGGTTAGGCTTAGGTCGACGAGAGAGAAAGGAACATAGAGCCAGACGAGAGAGAGAGAGACAAGAGATGATACCTGGCGGCAGATGACAGATCGAGAGATCGATGAAGGAAGGAGCGACGCTGATGTTGTTGTTCAAAGATCTGAGCTTTGGTGAGGTGAGAGAGAGAGAGAGAGGCGCCACACACAGCCCCTTAGGTCAAAACCACAGAGAGAGAGAGAGAGAGAGAGACGCTGATGTTGTTGTTCAAAGATCCGAGGTCGATTGAAGATCTGAGCTTTGGTGAGGTGAGAGAGAGAGAGAGAGGCGCCGCACGCAGCCCCTTAGGTCAAAACCAGAGAAAGAAAATGAAAATAGAAGAGAGAAGAGAAGAGAAGTCTGAGTGAAAGTGAGTGAGTGAGAGTCGCGTGCGGGAGGTTACGGGGAAAAAAAAAATTAGTGAGGGATCCGCTGCAAGCAGCCTCACATTAATATTTTTTTGGCCAATCAAACGATGCCACGTGTAAAATATATATATATATATATATATATATATATTCACCGGTTCGGTTCAGGTTCACCGGTTCTGAAATTTTTAGACCCGAGAGCCGAACTGTAGACCTTCGGTTCGGTTCAGGTCCAGGTTTGACTTTTTCGATTTGGTCAAAAAACACTCTTTTTCGATTTGGTTTGGGTTGGTTTGGTCGGTTTGATCGGTTTATCGGTTTTTATGCCCACCCCTAAAAGTGAGTAAACTCAAAAGTTGAGAAGGGTCAATTATGTAATATAGAAAGTAATTGTGTCAAATGCAACACATACAAAAACAAATTATCAAAGGGGTGAGAAGAGTCAAAATGACCCTCTCGTGATATACACACGATGAGAGTATATTTCTCTTGCTCCTCACTCACATGATTAAAAGGCATACTCGACCAGTGTACATCACAAGTAGGTACAAAAAGGAAATTCTCCAAAAAGAAGTACGTAAGCCCCTGTTGAAATAAAAATACATAAATAAATAAATAAAAGGGAGAAGCAATATATAGCAAGCATAAGGGTACCACCATAAGAAATGAAATTTTTTCTAATAAATCTGATGAGAACCCAAGTTTGAGAACTTAAGTTGATGACATATATATAGAGAGAGTTTCAATTAAGGGATCCCTCAAATAAGGGACATTCCTGTAGGGTTCACCATGCATTGTATTTCAACGATCCAAACAGTCTAGTTTTTAAATATTCCCTAAAAAATCATCTCTGTAAAAAATCACTTGAATCCAAAACCATTTGACCACTTAATTAGATGTCTTAATGGTTTTCAATTTGCATGATTTTTTGCAAGAATTGATCTATGAATAAAGATTTGAAAAATAAACGGTTTGGATCGTTAAATTTTTTTATAGGATATCCTAAAGGGTGTCCCTCAAATAAAATTATTTCAGAAATCCCTCAATAAGAGTGAAATATATATATATATATATATATATATATATAT